GGCTCCAGGCTCTGAGCCATCAGCCCAGAGCCTGACGCGGGGCTCGAACTCACGGACCGCGAGATCGTGACCTGGCTGAAGTCGGACGCTTAACCGACTGCACCACCCAGGCGCCCCTGGACCCCTTGATTATGATATAATGCCTTTCTGAATCTCTTGATACAGTCTTTATTTTAAAGTCTAGATTGGGGCGCCTGGGTGACTCAGTTGGTTGAGCATCTGACTTCGGCTCAGGTCATGATCTCATGGTCTGTCAGTCTGAGCCCGACATCCGGCTCTGTGCTGACAGCTCAGAGCCTGGAGCCTGCTTTAGATTCTGTGTCTCCCTCTCTCTCTGACCCTCCCCCATTCATTCTCTGTCTCTCTCTGTCTCAAAAATAAATAAACATTAAAAAAAAAATAAAGTGTAGATTGTCTGATGTAAGTATGGCTACTCCAGCTTTCTTTTGTTGACCATTAGCATGATACATGGTTCTCCATCCCCTTACTTTCAATCTGAAGGTGTCTTTAGGTCTAAAGTGGGTCTCTTGTAAACAGCATATAGATGGATATTGTTTTTTTATCCATTATGTTACCCTATGTCTTTTGATTGGAGCACTGAGTCCATTGACGTTTAGAGTGAGAACTGAAAGATATGAATTTATTGCCATTATGATGCTTGTAGAGTTGGAGTTTCTGGTGGTGTTCTTTGGTCCTTTTTAATCTTTGTTGCTTTTGGTATTTATTTATTTATTTATTTCTCTCTCTTTCTCTCTCTCTCTCTCTCTGTATATATATTTTTTCATCTTTTCTCCCCTCAGAGAGTCCTCCTTAAAATTTCTTGCAGGGCTGGTTTAGTGGTCACAAACTCCTTTAGTTGTTGTTTACCTGGGAAACTTTTTATCTCTTCTTCTATTTTGAATCACAGCCTTGCTGGATAAAGAATTCTTGTTGAAAATTTTTCTGATTGAGCACATTAAATATATCCTGCCACTCCTTTCTGGCCTGCCAAGTTTCTGTGGATAGGTCTGCTGCAAACCTGATCTGTATTCCCTTGTAGGTTAGGGACTTTTTTCCCTTGCTGCTTTCATGATTCTCTCTTTGCCTGAGTATTTTGTGAATTTGACTATGATATGCCTTGTTGATGGTCAGTTTTTGTTGAATCTAATGGGGGTCCTCTGTGCTTCCTGGATTTGGATGTCTGTGTTTTTCCCCAGGTTAGGAACATTTTCTGCTATGATGTGCTCCCATAACACTTCTACCCCTATTTCTCTCTCTTCCTTTTCTGGGACCCTTATGATTCTGATGTTGTTCCTTTTTAATGAGTCACTGATTTCTCTAATTTATTATT